GAGAGAGAGAGAGAGAGAGAGAGAGAGAGAGAGAGAGAGAGAGTCACAGTGGAAAGGGTGCTAGATTTAGACTCGGAGGACTTGGGTTCTAATTTTGACTACCCTTTTACTACCTGTGCGATCCAAGGCAAATCCCGTGTCCTCTTGGAGTCTCAGTTGAGTCCCCATATGTAAAGTGGGAGGGTTTGGCTAAATGATCCCCAAGATCCCTTTCAGCTCTAAATCTATGAATCCTAGGAAGCCTCACACCTCCTACCACCACAGACACAGACAGACAGACACAGACACACACACACACACACACACACACACACACACACACACACACACACACGAAGAGAAATTGAGTACACTCTGTGGACCCCGAACTAGCCGAGGTCCAGGGAAGCCGTGCCCTGCAGGCAGGGATGGGCAGCCTCGACAGGCGCCGAACCTGCCCAGCTGGGCTGGCAAGGAGGGAGGGCAGGGGAGGCGTGCTCTGCCTCGATTCTGGCCGGTCTCCTCTCCTTGCCCATCAGAAGCACCAGTGCAATGCTGCTGCAGATACCCCGCGCCCAACGCCGGGTGCAGAGCCGCGCGCGCTTAGACGGGCGCCAGCGGCGGGACGCCCGCACGCATGGCAAGCACTCACTCACCCTCAGAGTGGACAGGTCGATGTGGTCCAGGCTCCGAGGCGACGAGACTCTAGCCATAGCCATTGTTGCAGTCAGGGCCGGAGCCGGGCCGAAGCCCTGGCTGAGGATGGGGCTGGGGTCGGGGCAGGGGTTAGGGTTGGGGTTGGGGCGGGGGTCGAGGTGTATACAGGTCGGGTTCGGAGATTGGCTTGGAGTTTGGCTCGGAGTTCGGGTCTGGGGCTGCAGAGATGCGAAGAGCAACGACGGCGACGGTAGTCAGAGGAGCCTGTCAGAGTGCGTTGGGCACGAGCTGAGGGCGCCAGCTGTACTGACCGAATGCCCGCCTGGGCTGCAACTCCCTTGGACTTGAGCTGACGGGGAGGGGGCAAAAGAGGGCGGGGAGGGGAGGGGAAAAGAGGAGGAGGGGGCAAAGTGAGGGGGGGGTGGAAGGAGGGCAGGACCAGAGGCCGGGATGCGGGGAGTGAGGGGAGAATAGGGAGGGGGAAAGAGGAGAGGGAAAGGGGAGGGGGAGGAAGGGGAGCCGGAGCCGGAGGGGGCCCACCGGGGGTCACCCCGCCAGGGGGCCGCCGAAGAGCTGCGCGCTCCACCAGCCTGCGCCCGCGGCGCCCTGTCCCCAGAGCCAGTCCCCAGCCGCTACCGCCTTTAGGAGGGCAGCGGTGATCGCCACTGCCCCTGCCTCCTTCCCTGTCGCCCCTCTGCCTCCCGACCCCACAGCCCCACTCCAGCCACAGCAACAGCGTCCGGCCCCCGACTCCCCGCAGGACAACTTTTTTGCAGAGACATTTCCTCGGGAAAAAAAAAAAAAAGAAAAAAGTTTGGGGAAGGAAGTGACGTGCCTCCGGGGTTGGGGAGGCGGCCGCCCGGGCCGGGGCCGGAGCCGGAGCACGCGGGCTGCCGGACGCTCTGAAGGACCACGGAACAGAGGGCCAGCGTGGGATCCGGAGGGACCATAAGCGAAGTGCCCCCGCTTGGCCTCGTCCGCCTGCCCGCAGCGGCACGGACCGCACGTGGGTTCCCTGCATGAAACTGGACGCGCCCCCTAAGAAACCTCCCGCGGGCTGAGGTCTGGTCCAACCGTGCATCCCTCCCGCCCCAAGGCTGGCGAGTGGAGCCCTGGGGCACCCTGACCGTGCGGGCTTCCACCCCGCTCAGTCCCTGGCGAACCAGGGAACTCCATTCAAAGACGTGGCAGGGGCGCCTGCCCTGGCACTTTTTGCCGTCTAGGTAGGCAGAGACAGGGAGTCCCGGGGAGCCTGGTGGGCTCCGTCAGCCAGCCTCCTAAGATTCTAGATGTAGAGCTGCAAGTAACCTCAGAGGCCATCCAGTCCAACCCCCTTATTTTAGAAATAAGGAAACTGATACCCAGAGATGGGCAGTGACCTACCCAAGGTCAAACATAGGATCCTAGATCTAAAGCTGGAAGGGACCTCCGAAGCCAGCTAGCCCAACTCATGTTACAGAGAAGAAACTTTCGGGCCCAAAACTGGGCACACGAGTTGTACAGGTAGCAAAAGGCAGTGCTAGGCTACTCACTTGGAATCCTCAGACTAGCTACCTCCAGTACTTCGTGCACCGGTTCACACCGTCTCTCCAGTGTTGCTTTTGTTTCCACCAAATGGCCACGTGGAGTTTGAATGAACGTGAAACAAAATGAATTTTGTTTGGAGAACTGGGAACTTTTCCTGAACTACCTATCCTTGGACCTTCTTGCCCCTTACACACGATATTCCATCTCTTTACCACTACACAAGCTGCACCCCCTCCCATGCACAATAGTCCCTCCTTCCTCACCAATGCTTCTTAGAACCCCTAGTTCCCATCAAAGCTCAGTTGAAGTGTTACCCCCATATGACTCCTTTCTTCACCGTCACCCCAAGTATTTGGTGTCTCCCCACCCCCATCCTTACTTTCTCTTTATATTCGCACTATATGTGTAAATGTCTCCCTATAAATAAGAGCAGGAACTATTTAAAAAAAAAAAAAAAAAAAAAAAACTTCGTTTCTCCAGCACAGTGCCTGGCACCTAGTAGGCACTTAATAAATAGCCTGTCAGGGCAAGTCATAAAACCCCAGGTGGCTTCTAGAAGCCCAATTCTTAACAGAATTCTTAACAGGAAATACTTGACAAACCAACATGGTATCTATCACCAGCTTCCCAAGGGCAGCCCTATACAACATTATTACCTTTCCAGAAAGTCAAATTATACTTCCTCCATGAGGTTTCTCCTGATTGCCTCCCCCAGATCTTTGACCTTCCCCTCAGAACACTTTTGCAATGCTCATTTTTTTTTTAAAGCAAGTTTATCCTTCTGATTTAGGGCTTGTAGGTTTTGCCTCCCTAATTAGAGTATAATCTTTTGGGACAGGAATTTTGTTTGCTGTTGACTCTTCCTTCAAGACACTACCTCCTACTTGAAGCTTTTCGTGATTTCCTCAACTACTAGTACCCTCCCCACCCCCACTAACTTATATTTACTTTATTTTTGCTTGTTTCCCTCCCCTGACAGAATGTAAACTTCTTGAGGACAGGGTCTGGTTTTTGTCTTTTTATCTTCTGCTCCTAGCACAAGCCCCTAATTAAGATATTTGTTAATTGATTAATAAATCTGCCCTGGGCTTTATAAGCACTCACTTTTATTATCCTATTTGAGCCTCACACCTGAAGTATAAGTGCCATTAATAAAAAGAGAGAACTACAGTCTTCTGGAAAGGAATGCTCAGGCTTAATTTCACTTAAACAACTTTTAAAGAAACAACAACCATCAGTCTTGGTAACAAGCAGTTCTTGTATAAATACCAGTACCTTGTATTTAACGACTATGTGTGTGTCTCACCCAAAGTCTTAGTGCAGTTTTAAGCTATAAAAGCTTAAAACTGCACTAAGACTTTGGGGACACCTGTATATGTATGCATGCATTTATATATACACATGTATGTAAATATATACATGTATATAAACATAACACTTATGCTGTATGTATTTTTATATGTACTTGATGTCTCAGCCTTTAGAATGTGAGCTCATTTTGAGTGAGAATCCTTTCATTCTTTGTATTCTCAGTACCTAACACAGTTCTTGCCACATAGTAGGTACTTCATAAATATTTATTGATTGATTAGTGTCATTTAACCTCTGAAGCTCTTGTTCTCTCCTCCCTCCCTCTTCCCCCTTCTCTCCTTCCCCTCTTCTCCCCTCCTCTTCTCCCCCCCTCCCTCCTTCCCCCACTTTCCCCCCTCCCCCCATATACTTTTTTTTCCACATTCCTCCTGGTGAACATTTGTGTTTATTGTGGATGGTGAAACTAAATATTTAGTCCAAGTGAGAACTGAACCAAGGGCATGACAAAATGAGAGATTCACTGGGATTGAATACTTTCAATTTGCCACTTGCCAGACATCATCATCATACTAATTCACCACTGAAACTGTACTCTGAAACCTCCCTGTAAGATGGAGGTAAGTCTAGGTCTCAAAGACTCTGCCATAGTCTCCACCCTGAAGGAGCTCATATTGTAATGGCAGAGGAAATGTTCAAATATCTCTGTGCCCACAAGATATATATAGTGCAAATTGAAGGTAATCTCAGAAGGCACTTTGGGGAGAGGGAAGGGGGAGGGGAGGAAGGGGAAAGAGATGGGGTGCAGATGACCAGAAAAAGGAGACACAGTCAGTGAAAAGGAACAGAGTTGGAAGATAGAATGTCATGTTTGAGCAACACCAAGTGTGAAAAGACTGGAAAGATAGGAAGAGACCAAATTATAAAGGCTTTTAAAAGTCAAATGGAGGATTTTATATTGGATCCTGTAGATAATAGGAAGCCTTTGGAGTTTATTGAGTGGAAGGGGTAGGTGGTGGTATGGTCAAACCTATGGTTTAGGAAAATCACAGGCAGCTGAGTGAGAACTGTTTTGAGGAGGGAAAGATGAGGCAGCCAGACCAGTTAGAAGGTGATTACAATAGCTCAGGTGTGAGGTGATAAGGGCTTGTTCTAGGACTGTGGCTGAGTTAAGAGAAAGGAGTTTGTCTGAGAGATGTAGTGAAGGCAGAAACAAGATTTGGTGACAGCTTGGATGTGTGGGGTGAGTGCGAGTGAGCAGTCAGAGATGCCAAAGACACTGGGGGCCTGGGTGACTAGGAGGGTAAAAGTACTGCTTAAAAATCATAGGAAAGCCAGGGGGAGGGGGAAAGGAGATAAGAAGATATTTTGTATTTTGTTGAGTTTAATACGTCTCTGGGCAGCTAGTTCGAGATGTCTAAGACACAGTTGGTGATGAGACACTGGAGCTCAGGATAGAGATTAGGGCTGGATATATAGCTCTGGGCATTATCTGTATAGAGTGAACCTATTGGAGCTGAGGAGCTTACCAAGACAGATGGTGGAGAATGAAAAAAGAAGGGGGCCCAGGACAGAGGCCTGAAAAACTGGAAATGCTTCAAATCCAACTGGTCTAAAGACCAGCCTAACCAATCAATGGACAAGCATTTTTTAAGAGTCTACTAGGTACCAGACCCTGTACTAGGAGCTGAGTCAAAGGACCCAGACAAAAAATGAATGATTCTTTGCCTATTCAGTTAGGAGAAATGTAGACACATATCATTAAATACAAAATTGATAGAAAGTAATGCAAGGTAATTTTAGTGGGGGAAGACGTTACCAGCTGAGGGGATTAGGAAAATCCTCTGGTGGGAGGAGACATTTGAACTGAGCTTTGCAGGGAGCCTGGAATTCTAAAATACAAAGATGAGGAGGGAGTTCGTTTCTGGCATGGGGAGATAACCTGTGCAAAGAAAGGTGTGGGGATGGAAGATGAGTGTCATTTGCAAGAAAAAGTGAGGAGGAAAAATGGGCTGAAGTGTAGAGTTTATGGAGGGGAGTGAAGTGAAATAAGCCTGATAAGGTTCTTCTGAGCAAGATTATGAAGGGTTTGAAAAAGTCAAACCAAGAAGATTGTATTTGATCCTAGAGGCAATAGGTAGCCACTGGGGACTCTTGAGCAATGGAATAGTAGAGTCAGATCCGGGTTTTGAATGACTTTGAAAGATATAGGAAGATGAATTGAAAAAAAAGGAGAAGCTGAAGGCTGGGAGAGCAATGGCAAGATTATTTGTT